TATATATATATATATATATATATATCTATTTGCAAAGCCTCATTTTTATATAAATTACTACTTGTTTTAACTTTAAAGAGAAATGACTCATCTTAATTATTATTATTATTATTATTTTTTGTAAAAATTTCTTTGTGAAATGTTTCATCTTAGCATTTTGTCTATAAGGGTCATTATTTATATGGGTCAAAGTCATACTTTTACAAATAACTGTGTATGATAAATTTATTAACTTTTTTATTAATTACTTTAAAAGTCATAAAAAAGCATTTTCTAGTTAATTGAGTGTAAATTTTCTAACACAGACAATGCACAGTTATTAAAAACCCATATTTAATATACACAATTATTTTTTAGACAATTTTATATTTTGAAACTCACCTCTCAATTATAGTAGTTATATATATCTCTTAATATTTTTTTTATTTTTAATTTAAAAAACTCAACAACATATAGAAGACATGGATTGTCTGTCTTTTAACTAGTAAACATAAAGTAGGGTTTAACTCTAAACTTTTTACTGATCCTAGAGTGACTAGAGACAAAGGATATTGAACTTTCAATAAAATTTTCTCTTAATGTCTGTTTATTAATTTTATGAAAAGATTGACATTGATTTTAATACAGATATTAGACAACTAGTGAAAATAGCACGATCAATTAAGCCTACAGGAGGAAAGGATTGCAACCGAAAAGCAAGCCAAGCGTCCAAGGTGAGGAAGAATGATGGATCCTTATTTGTTGGAGCATTTTGCCAATCAAATGTTGGAGATGTGTCACCAAATGTTTTAGGAGCATTTTGCATCGATAATGGAAAACCTTGTGACTTCAACCATTCTTCATGCAATGGCAATGACCAACTTTGTGTTGGCAGGGGACCCGGGTATGCAAGAAGTCTCTCTAATCAAAGATGAGGCCTATAAATGCTTGTTTTTCATGAAAACACAAACTTCTAAATAGTAACTTGTCATGCCATACTTGTGTTGAAAATAAATTCATGTCAGACACTACATGAATACTTTAAATATTTCTAGTTGAACATTGAACCAAAGCAAAATTTGTGATTTTCAATAATAGTAAAGAGAGGATTAGTACGAGAGTGTCAGTAGTATTTCTATATGTTTTATAACAACTAAATCACGTCTTATAAATTTTAAAAGGACATATTACAATTAAATCACATTTTATAATTTTTAAAAGGGAAAAACTTAAGTACACCATAATAGGTACTGTTTGTTGTTTTTCAATCAGAATGGAAGTTGTACTAGAAACCCTTAGACAGGTGCAAAAGTTTTACCTCAATAATATACGTAAATACATATTATTGAAATTTGCATATCAGATGTAAATGTTTACTATTGAGGTGAAATTCCATTGATTGGAGAATAATATCTATAGTATTGTAGTTAAGTTTTGTCTTTTTTTAAATTTGCTAAATTCGGATGTACGTGTGTTGTATTGTATGTCTCCCTTGCTATGTATGTGCTTTCTTATGCTTGTAGTTGTGGAAAAGGAAGTGCTTATAATTTTGCATGGAGCAGATACCCAGATGAAATATTAAGCACAAAGATCATAGGTGAAAGGCAGTTCAAAACTGCTGTGGAACTGTTTGAGTCTGCTTCAGGGGAACTGGTAGGGAAAATTGACTATCGTCATGTGTACCTGAACTTCACAGACATTGAAGTTAAATTGGATAGCAACAAGGTGGTGAAAACTTGCCCTGCAGCACTTGGTCCTGGTTTTGCAGCAGGAACTACAGATGGACCAGGTGCTTTTGGGTTTCAACAAGGTGATACAGAGGTAAATCCTTTTATTTTCTTGCATTGCAATTCAAATACTTTTCCTAGGAGTGATGGATTTATATATAAAGCATTTGAAGCCAATACCAAAAATATAATTTTCAGGCTATCTTTCAATCACAATGTTCATGGGTTACTAAGTTTCAAGTAATTTAAAACCAATGGGGAAGTGAGGAACATCAGTTTTCCCTCTTTACTTTTGCTTTGCGAGATTGTGAATTCATATGGGCGGCTAACACACACAGGAGACATCAAATGAGAGGACTTATTTTTGTTTTGTTAAAGTGACAAACAAATATTAGCCATTTGATCTTCAAGATTTTAACAAAAAAGTTGAGTTTTTAAAAAGTCAGATGGTTATGTGACTTATACTTTTTGATCTTGACGATCCTTGCATAATTATATGGCCAAGATTTTTTTTTACTTTTATATAAAAATAGCTTTTTTCACCATATACATTCTCATTGAGGAGATATATCATATGTGAGGGCCTTGTTTGTATGTAAAAAGACTGAGACCAATGCTAGTTAAAACAACATAATTAAATAACTTTTAAAAATTCACTATTGGATTGAAAATTTCTATTATATAAATTTTATCTATAAAATCTTATATTAATGAAAAATTATTTAATACTTTGTTAATCTACATCAATTGACATTGTATATATTTTAAAAATATATGAAAAAATTTAATTATATTCTTGTGGATGTTGTTATGTGTATATTGGCTTTAGGAAGAAACATATGTTAACTCACCTTCCAAGTATAATTAGCAACACTTTGAAACCTCCCCGTTTAGGTTCAATTAATAAACCTGAGATGGAAATTCAAGAACATTTTCTTGTGTTGGCATCATGTTCTTGCTTATTTTTCTACCTAAGTGCTATTAACTTCGATCCATTTGTGCAGATTAATCCATTTTGGAAGGGTTTGAGGGATTTACTAAAAGAACCAAGTCAATATCAAGTGGATTGCCAGAACCCAAAGCAAGTTTTGTTGAGCACTGGGGAAATGTTTGATCCTTATCCTTGGGCGGTAAGACTACAGTTAAGTGCTAATGAGATAGTTTTGCAATCAAAGATAACAATATGCATAGCAATGTACTAATCAAGAAAGTTTTGGATGTTGGTACAGCCAGCAATTCTTCCAATTCAAATCATCAGATTGGGCAAGTTGATCATTCTTTCTGTACCAGGAGGTTTGTATTCTTTTCAATGTCATATCTTAAATTGAATAGGAAAAAAAAGAATTTCTCTTTTATATGAATAAAGGCTCCATCAAATCATGATCTGCATAATTGTTAAGTAGAGAGAAACACAAACACATGCTCACATGGTCCAATCCTGAGTTTTATAGAGTTTACAACAATGGCTGGCAGAAGGCTAAGGGAGGCAGTGAAGGAGACATTAATATCAAGCAGCAATGGAGAATTCAATAATGAGACACATGTGGTTATAGCAGGACTGACAAATACTTACTCACAATATATTGCTACTTTTGAAGAATATAAGCAGCAACGGTATGAGGTATGCTGAATAAAAGAGGATACCAAATCATCAAGTTTCTATAAACTTATTAGATATCCATATTAGACAAAAGCAATTGATGTTATGGAATATCGATCTTATTTAACTTTAGGAGAGGCAAGAAGCTAACTTAAATTCAGCCAATAAATGTCTGATTAATCAAACCTTGGAAAAATCAAATGTTTTTGCTTCAGTTTATTTCAAAGAAATAATTCAAAAATTGTTTAGAAAAAAGAAAAGAAATTTTTTCCAAAAAATAATCATTTGCTAACATTCACTTACATTCTTTATTACCCTTCCCTTATACCAGACCAGTCATAAGCATGCAGTACATGCTACCACATAGCTTTCAGGCTTTAATTTTGAGACAAACTAGATCTAAATTAATGCTAATAAGTAATAATGTAATTTGCAGGCTGCTTCAACATTGTATGGTCCTCACACATTATCAGCATACATCCAAGAATTTAAGAAACTAGCACGAGCAATGGTTGAAGGAATTAACATCCCTTTGAAAGGTCCTTCACCACCAGATCTCTCATCTGTACAAATAAAACTCTTATTGGGTCCCTTTGGAGACTCACCTCCAGAAGGAATCAAATTTGGTGACATAAAGGAAGACATATCCTTTCCAAAGGAAGGCTATTTTACGAAGGGAGACACATCATGTGCTACATTCTGGAGTGCCAATCCAAGATATGACCTTCTAACAGAAGGCACATTTGCAGCAGTGGAGAGGCTTCAAGGGGAAAGATGGATTGCTGTGTATGATGATGACGATTTAAGCTTGTTTCTCAAGTGGAAAGTAGATAATAGTTCCTATCAAGGCCTGGCTACCATAGAATGGGAAATACCAAATGAAGCAGTTTCTGGAGTATACAGACTAAAACACTTTGGAGCAACAAGGGTCACCATTTTGTCCCCTATTAGTTACTTTGTTGGTGCTTCAAGTGCATTTGCAGTGCAATAAGATAGGAGCCCTGTTTTATTGAAAATGTTTTAATCAAATACAAAAGATCCAATACTTTTCATGTTGCATATTATTCAAGGGCTAGGAATACATAACAATGTACTCATTTATCCCTCCAAATCACATATCAAAGACACTGTCCTTTACTCAATAAATCAAAAGCTTTATTGATGTCTTTAAACTCCACCTCATGAGTGACAAATTCATCCAACTACAACTCCTGTTGATATAAGAGGAAAAAAGTTAATAGACTAGAAATGTCCCAAATGATTTGATATTTCATTATTTGTTTAATACTAATCTTACATAAGTATTACTACTAGTCTAACACATACATCAATATTGATGGGACACAGCCAGACAACATAGTTCAAAAATGAAAATATAAGAAATTGCATACAGTACCTTATCTACGTAACGTTTAAGGAGAATGGGTACATGAGACTTGGGTTTGAGACCTCCAAATAAGGATCCCATGAGGCTCTTCCCGTCATGGAGGACATCATGAGAATTGAGGTTTATCTTGGCTCCTGGCCTGTCCACTCCTAACACAATTGTTTTTCCCCAACCCTGAAGGCAAAATCATCAGCTTTCAACTTATGATTTCATGAAGTATTGATTTGTGGAGCTCAAATTATTGGCAAAGTTGAATCAAGCCTGTTCCTATCTAAGCAAAGAGTCTTTTTCATACAGAATAGAGAATTTCAATTTAGTTGGCACAAACTAAGACTTCACTGCTTTAAGTGGCCTTTCAAGCTTTGTGAAGTAGTGATCAGTCAAAATCATAATTTAGTTACAGATTAGGTCACATTATCACTGTTTGCCTATATATGAATGTGCAAGGATGTTTGGGAACTTTGAGAGAGTAACACGTACCATTCTACAAGAAGCATATGCTTCAAGAATCAATGATGCCATACCAACACATTCAAAGCAATAATCTGCTCCCGTACCAGTTTTCTCTATGATAATCTGCTCAGCAGCCACATTTGGATATAGTTTAGAAGACAAATAGTATATATATTGAACTCATGAATATATTACAATACTTACAAAATTCTTTTAATATTTTCATGTGATATCATGCAAAGAGAACATGTTATATCTAGAAACAAGAAAGGAATTTCAACAAAAATTAAGATTAAAAATTGATGCCCTCAAGAGGGTAGAACTGGCTCACAGGTTTGTTCCCACATTCTCCAGCATTGACAAAGTCTGTTACTCCAAATTTCTTTCCTGATTACAAGAGAAGAACAAACCCATGAAATCAAATTCAGAATTCACAGAAAATAAAATCAAAAGAAATCATAAAAGCATATCTGATAGAAACTGGAATCAGATGAGTGATATCATGTTCACTAAACCAGAATTTCCCTCTTTGGAACTGATACTAAACTGCTATCATTTTCGAAAACTTCAAGGGACCAGTAAACCTCTTTTCCTTTTTCCACTCAAAGTTAGCCCAAAACTTTACGTAATCTCCTTTTTTCTGTAGTTCATGTGTGCCGGCAGCAACATTGTCAACTTTCTGGTCTTCTCAAACTTTCAGTCACAGTAGGCATTATAATATCATTAGCACTCTTACACCTCTTCCTGCTATATACCTTGAGCATGGCTAACAATATATTATATGATGGTTGATATGATGTTATTAAACAAACAGTGTGATACGGGTCAAATTGTAATTAGATGGAATTACAGGTAGTTAAGTGAGGATAGTTAATAATAGGAGGATTATTTTGGTCAAAGTTCCGTGTTTTAGTAGTTAGTAGTTCGTTGGGAAAACCAACTAGTATATTAGAAAACTGTCTGATACAGAATTGGTTAATCAGTTCTGTAAACAAATTTCCCAATCTTGTGAATCAATCATACTGTCTCAGAACTCTTTCTATTCCAGGGTTCTCTGTTCTTCTTAGTTCTTCGGGTTAATTCCATAATTCCTAGAACTAATCATAGCAATTGGTATTAGCTTGGTTCCTTCCTTCGCAATCATCTATGGCAGAAAACACGCGCATTCAAGCATCTGTTCATGAAGCGGAAGAGCGCATCAGTACCAAGATGGAAGAGAAATTCATGGAACTTGCAACATCAATGCAGCGAACCTTGATCCAGCACATGCAAGAACTGTTTCAAAAACATACACAAGATAACTCACCACCTTCTCATTCGGGCAGTTCCATACGTGGCGGGAAATCTTCTTATTCTTGCAATACAAGATTGGCGCGTTTAGACTTTCCAAGATTTAACGGCGACGGGATTAAACAATGGTTAATCCAGTGTGAGACTTTCTTTTCGGTTGACAACACACCTGAAGATTATAAGGTGAGGTTAGCAGTGGTACATTTCGAAGGAAAGGCACTTCAATGGCATAGTGCTTATGTGAAAACTGTAGGATTAGAAAATTTACCTTCTTGGCTGGAATATACACGAATCTTGCTGGATAGATTTGGGGAAATTTGTGAGGATCCAATGGCGGACTTAATGAAGCTAAGACAAAAAAGTTCTATTACGGAATATCATGAAGAATTCGATTCGATTGTGTCACGCGTGGAATTATCTGAAGTACACCAACTAAGCTGTTTCTTGGGAGGGTTAAAACAAGATGTTCAAATGATGGTCAGAATGTTCCAACCTGATTCGGTAAGAAAAGCATTTTCCCTTGCAAAAATGTATGAAGCTTCTACCTTAAGTAACCCTCAATTCAAACCAATTCTGAAAAACCAGAAACCACAATTTTCTTCTTGTTAGAATAGTGGATTAAGCTTAACTCAACCCTACAAAACCGGCTTGTAAAGTGAGGGTTGCTCTCCACTTATATACTATTTAATTGCCTAATCTTTAGTCGATGTGGGACTTGGGTTTTTCCCAATAAACCACCTATACTATCCAATCCATCTAAACTTGCAGAATCCACACCTATGAAGGCCAAAACATTTAGAAACCTGTCACCCGCATATATGAGTGAGAGAAGAGCTAAAGGTCTATGTTACTTTTGTGATGAACCTTTTACCGCAGAACACGGATTAACCCATAAAAAACTCCAAATTCATGTCATGGAAATTGATGATGGTGAGTCAGTTGACACTAGTGAAGATGTGGATGTGGAGAACAGTCCAAAGGATTTGATTGAACCTCAGATCTCTGTACATGCCCTGACTGGTATTGCTAGTTTTAGAACTATGCGAATTACGGGCTATTATAAAAAAAAACCTTGCATATCCTTATAGACAGCGGTAGTACTCATAATTTCCTTGATGTTCAAGTTGCTCGGAAATTAGGTTGCTTGATACAACAAATGGAAACTATGAATGTTATTGTGGCTGATGGTACTAAAGTCAGAATTTCTTCAATGGTCAAGAACTTTGGTTGGACTATTCAGAATACTAATTTTTCTTCTGACATGATGTTACTACCTTTAGGTTGTTGTGACCTGGTCTTGGGAATCGAGTGGCTGGTTACATTGGGAGATATAGTTTGGAATTTTGACAAACTTTCTATGAAATTTTCTGTTAGTGGCAGGAAGCATGTGCTGCGAGGTGCTTCTTCTACCAATATCAAGACTATAAGGAAACAACAGGTGACTAAAGCTCTTAAAGAAGGTGTTCATTTGTCTGTCTTACAGGTAGGTGATGCTTCTGAAGGGTTGTTGCATTCTTTAACAACTCATGCTGACCAACCTGAATTACCAAGAGCAATCGATGAACTGCTAAGTCAGTTTGCGGATATATTTGATGAACCAACCAGCTTACCTCCAAAGAGATTAGGATATGATCACAAGATTCCCTTAATGCAGGGCTCTAATCCAGTGAACAAAGGGCCTTACAGATATGCGAAACAACAGAAAGATGAAATTGATAGATTGGTGAGAGAGTCACTCAAGTCAGGTATCATTCAGCCTAGTAATAGTCCTTATGCAAGTCCTGTTGTTTTGGTGGGTAAGAAAGATGGTTCTTGGCGAATGTGTGTGGACTACAGGGAATTAAATAAGAATACAGTGAAGGATCAATTTCCAATACCACTTGTTGATGATCTGCTGGATGAGTTGTATGGCTCTGTGATTTTTTCCAAAATCGATTTGAGATCCGGTTACAATCAGATGAGGATGGATCCTATTGATATCCATAAAACTGGTTTTAAAACACATAGTGGCCATTTTGAGTATTTGGTAATGCCTTTTGGCCTCACCAATGCTCCTGCCACTTTTCAGGGATTGATGAATGAGGTCTTTAAACACTATTTGAGTAGTTTAGAAAGCCATATTGGCCACTTGCAGCAAGTTTTGACAACCATGAGAGAACACTCATTGTTTGCCAAGAGGTCTAAATGCTATTTTGGAGTTACAAGGGTAGAATACTTGGGACATTATATATCTCGAGAGGGGGTAGCCACTGACCCACGCAAAATTGTAGCAATCCAAAATTGGCCACTGCCTCAATCCATTAAACAACTGAGAGGTTTTTTGGGTTTATCAGGCTATTACAGAAGGTTTGTTAAGGGATATGGAAGTACAGCTAAACCATTAACCAATATGTTAAAGAAAGAAGGGTTTTGTTGGTCTTCAGAAGCAAAGGAGGCATTTCAATCCTTAAAAACAAAACTGGTACAGGCACGAGTTTTAGCATTGCCAGATTTTACCAAAACCTTTGTGGTGGAGGTAGATGCTTCGGGGTTTGGAATTGGAGCTGTGCTAATGCAGGAGATGCACCCTATAGCTTTCATAAGTAGAGTCCTGAGTCAATAACAACAATCCCTGTCTACATATGAAAAGGAGTTATTGGCAGTAGTGTTTGCTGTCCAAAAATGGAGGCACTACTTGTTAAATAGACATTTTATTATCAGGACTGATCACAGGAGCCTCAAGTACATGTTAGAACAGAGATTAACTACCACTTTTCAACAGAAATGGTTAGTTAAATTGTTGGAGTTTGATTTTTCCATCGAATATAAGCAAGGGAAGGACAATATTGTTGTTGTCGCCCTTTCTAGGTTGGGAACTACAGATTGTTGTGCTATCCGGAGAGAGAGAAGGGGGCTAGAGACAGCGAGTGAGAAATAAACTCGCGCGGTGGAACAGATTGTAAGTTCATTCGGTGGAAGAGAGAAAAGGTATAACTAGACTTGTTTTGTCAAACAATTTCTCGCATTTATTACTAAGTTAACAATATTTGTCAAACAATTTCTCGCATTTCAAT